GTTTTTAATCCTCATTATGAGAGAGCTATCTGAATAAAGGCTTTTTACTATTTTTAGACGAGTGCCTTTGCCCCTTTTTGGCAAATACAGAATTCCATTGCCTGCAAGGAGGATGTGGTCAGTTTGTTGTATTGGTCATGTATTGTCACAGTGTAAGGTGTAAGTCACATAACCAAATAATCTTAATGTCAGGCTAATGAACATTTGTCACAATGTTGACACTAAAGTAAACCGAAATGAAACATGGAGGCAAATGTGCTGTGATAAAAGTACAGCTGATTAAAATGTTGAGATTAATTTTACTGAAAGTACTAGTGGTACTAATAGTCAGCTATTACAAGTGCAAATAGACATGTTTTGTCAAGACAAGGTTTTCTGATAGGGGAGAATGGTTTCTCACTTAATGTGGCTCATTTATGGAGCTAAATTCAATGTTATCAGTGTTACATCAAGCCACCTGATCAATTCCTTTTAACTCCTTTTAGTTTAATTTAATTTTAATTTATTGAACATATGGTACTGTATGTGTATCTGTGTTATTGTGCTGTTTTATTTTTTTTGCACTGATCTTATTTACTCTATTTTAGTCATTTATTGTGATTTTATTTTGCTATGTAAAGTACTTTGGTCAGCTGGATGTTGTTCTTAAAGTGCTATATAAATAAATTTGATTTGATTTGCTTTGATTTGAATGTGAAGAATGAGACGCTCCATGTGCATATGACATCACTTGCACCATTTGTTATTTGCACAACAATGTGGATATGTGAACATGCTGCAGAGCACAATGCAGATAGTTCTCACAGTTATTTATAGCCATAGAACCAGCTAGTGTACTATACTGTCCTCTTTGGGGTGAACATGTTCTGGGGCTGCTGTGGTTCAGGAGGTAGCATGGTTGTCTTCCAACCCAAAGTTTGGTGGTTCAATTTCCATTGTTCCCAGTCCACATGTCGAAGTGTCCTTGGGCAAGACAGTGAACCCCGCGTTGCTCCAGATGGCCAGAGCAGCATCGCCATTGGTATGTGTGAGTGGGCACCACAGACAGCTGCCTCAGTCCTGTACCAGAGACAGATTTTTTGTGTGTGTGACATACTTGGTGATTATAGTATTGTACGTGTTGTGGCCATATGTTAGTACACTGATGATCCAGCCATTGTGAAACCATAATTTAGTTGTTCTGCTTTCAACCATACTGCAGTGATTGCACACATTCTTAGTAAACTAGGTAAAATCTATTAAGGCATTAGATGCAAATACCTTTTTTTTTATTAATTATTCACCATTGTACTTAGCATTTGTTTTATCAGGTTGACATAGCAACAGTTGTGTGACATTAAAATACTTGCATGACAAAAAGTAAAAAATCATTACAGTCATAAATCTGCCCCATACAACTCTACAGTGCACCTCCAAGCCTGCTATGTTAACCATGAGGTGTTACATCCACTTGCCTGCAATGAGCAGTTAGTCAGCTGTGCTGTTACGGCATTAGTGACAGACAGCTACATAACACCCAGATTGGGCACAGGAAATTAGAACACAATAAACATGTGCTTTTTTGATCTGAGCCCTGCTGGAACATGTTTTCACAAAGAAGACAAAGACAGTATAAAGGACTGCTCTGCAGTAATGGCCCTGGGACATTTTGCTTGTTTTCTCATTCATTCAATTAATCATGTGCAGGTAGCCTTACAGGACGTGAAAACTATTTAAATCATTTGCCTCTGGTCAGGGAGTTGGCTGAATGATTTGTTGTTTACACCTTGTCATCTCTGCTGCCTGTGCTTTGTTCTTTGTTCCACCTTATATTGTTTTGGTTAAGTAATATACGTATGTAAAGAGCTACTGTACTTAACATCACCGAAAGACAACTGAGGGTTGGGCCATCAGCCAAAGAAAAGTGATTATGAATTATATTGTTCTTGTTGAGAGACAAGGACTTTAGGTAGTTTCTGTGAGCTACTGCACTTACTTAGATTAAAAACGGCAGCAGTCTTTTCAGTTCACTGATGATTTAAGCAATATATAGAGTTCAGACTAAACAGTGAGTGTGGGATTTGAAATGTAGGTCCCCACAGACCAAACAAAAATTATGTGTTCAAGTTGTACATAATGCCCCATATGGCTAAAGGTGTGTGGGCTCACATTCCATTATGATGAAACTGTAATTCCAGAGGGATGGTTAGTACTGTCATGCCCTAGTAGGTTGAGTGAGGCGAGTAGGGGCACACCCGGCCAGTCGTCAGCAGTACACAGGACTGACCAAGGGAGAGAGACAATTATTCATGCTAACTTCCACACCCAGAGGCAGAGTCACTAAGTCACTAATTCAAAGGTCATGCTAAATAAGGTCAGTAGTAATTTTTGGCGATTGTGTTTCTGTGGAATTAGGGAACAGAGTTACAGCTTGGAAAAGGGTAAAAGATACTGCATTTGTACCAGATTCTGTTTGATCCAGATGATCAGAAAAAAACAGTGAAGCTCTGGGACCAACACACACACACACACACACTGTAGTAAATAATGTTACTGTAGTTGTTTTTTTTCACTCCAGGGTTTTTGAAAGACTGCCAGTGATTTATGTTTAAATAAAACAGATTGAATATAATAATACATGGGAGGCACATTCGGTGGCTAGCCCAGAGCGTGCTAGGATGGGTTCCAGTCTAATTAGCTCCCACCCCTGAACAGGATCAACTGGTATAGACAAAAATGAATGAACATTGTGTAACCACTTTTTCTTACTCAGTCTCCTTTTATTCAGTTACGTGGGACCAACAATTATGTCATTATGACAAATCAGCTGTTTTGCGTGTCCATAGCAATAAGCTAATTCTGTGTAGTTGTAAGCTACTCTGTGGTATTTGCAAAACAGCTGTAAGATAGTTCTTTGGTACTTGTAAGACAGTTGTAAGGTAGTTGTGGTATTTGTAAGATAGTTGTATGGTTGTTGTATTGTAGGAGTATGGTGGTTGTATGGTAGCTTTAAGATAGGTGTATAGTCACAAAAGAAATGTCATATATACACAAATCCATTATTGAATATATTGAATTCAACACACATTACTTGTGCATACTCACACACACACACAAGCTCCTTTCACTCAAGTTGTGAAGTGGGTGCCATCAGTAACAAAGTAGTTAACACTGGACGTCATCAGGAATCAAGAGAGATTCTGTCATGATTGACACCTGTTTGAAAATGAAAAACAAATCAGTGTTTGTATTAAAGTGTTTCGCATTCAGTCAGTGAAGTAACACACAGTCCAGACACATCGTTTTGTGTAACAGTTACCTTAGTGTTTGTATATTTTCAGTATGAGTGGGTATTTATATGTGGAATGTGTTTGTGACAATAATGTAAGTTTTTTGTATTTTTGTATTGTGTGTTACTTTATTATCTTTACTGTTATATTCGTTATTGATTATTACTCTGCTGACACAGACATGAGCATGCAAGAGCAAATGAAAGTGCAGTTGTCTAGTTATTTGTACTGGTTTTAGAGTCACAACTACTGAAGCTGGTGGTTGGAGGCAACACCTTAGTGGTGAAATCATGAATTGTTTGTTTCAGCTGTGCAATTAAACCCAGTGTTGTTTTTGGGTTCACTTTTTGTTTCAGACTGATACTGTGAAGATAAATATCTGGGTTTATGTGTGTATAAACAGTATTTATTGTACAAGTTACAAACCAAATTACTGAACAAAATAAGTGACAG